AATAAGACCCCTCCTGCCACATCTTCTCTTTCACAATTTGTTGATAGTTCTCTCTCATGTTTAATTATATATTACCTTCAACCAACAGAAAGCCAAGGTTTTCATCTATCGAATGACATTGTGTTCTGAACATATAATTGTCAATTTCACTCAGAGTACAAACTTCATTCCCACAGGAATGTTAATGACTAGCTTGGATGAATTTGTAACAGTTTTTGTTGCATAGTTGGATAGCCAGAAAAATTGTGAGAGTTAGGGGAAATTGTCTACTTTTTGCGTGTTATTAGTCTATGTTCTTTGTTACATTATTCAGTTAAATACAAATTTATTATATTACTACTGCTAGTATAAAAAAAAAAATTAAGGTTAAGTGTCATCAACAATTGACAGCATGAAAAAAGAAGATTGGGTAAGTACTTTATTTCACATTTTTTCTTTAATTATTATTATAAAATGTAAAAATAGGGATCTTTTTTAAGTTAGATTAGGTAAAATAAATAATAATAATAATAATATCATAAAACTTTTTCATGAGGCATGCATGCGAGCAGATCATAGTAGCTTGTGGGTGATGTAATTTGATAGCATAATGTGAGCTGCACATTCCCCGAGTGATTTACAACTTATAATGGCACAAATAGTAGTTAGATGGGGTTCAAAGGGCAATAAAATGTAATTATAAATAGATGTACACTGTTACGAGCTTAAAGCTACTTAGAATAAATGAATGTAGTTTCATGTTACAATTTCAAGTCATTCTAGAAAGAAAAAAAGGGTAATTTTGATTTTTCATTTCTTTTCTTTTCGTGGTTATGAGGTCGGTCAAATTGACCGATCCCGTATAGAGATATGGTAGATGAAATATAGTTTTACTGGAAAAAAAACGTTTGAAATGTATTTAGGAGGTTTTAGGGATTACACAAAGGAAATATGATATTTTTGAGATGACGAAAAGTATTTCTAATCTTAACATGAGGATTTGCTTTGCACATGGACTATTCAAAACAAATACTCAATATATTCATGCACAAATCTTTATTTTAGTTTGTTAAAAATATTTCACTAAAAAATATTATTTTTTTGTATGTGAAAGATTTTTAATGTTAACTGAAAGACTGACAAATTTTGTGAAGATATACACACTATATTGAAAGTTAGAAGTATTAAATCTATAAAGACTTATCAAGTACAAAAAGGTCACATGGTCGATCAAATTGACCAAGCCTGTATTGAGAGAGTTCATGCTGCTGGTGGAGTTTTAACTTTAACATCAACAATTCACCTTAGCGTCAGCAGCATCTGCAAGGCAAAGGTATATGAGGAACAACGGAAACAAAAAAGAACAGGCAAAAATTAGTTAAAAAGAATAACTGGGATGGATGAAATAGACAACATAAAAAAAAAAAGACAACATTTGTAGGATAATAATATTGCTGCTTTGCATAAGTTGGAAGACAAGTTTGTTGAAAAGGCAGAAGCATCTAGAAAATTTGGTTTCTTTACCAAATTCAACAGCCTTAGGCACACTGCTTAAGAAAAAGAAAAGAAGCTCATTGAGTTAAAAGACCAATTACAGGGTTCACACTAGGGTCCTGCAGTGAAGGATCCCAGACCCACAACTTTCTTTTCAAGGATTCCATATATACAATTTAATAAACTCGAAAAAGAAAAGAAAAAAGCTCTTCGGTGTCAATGGTAAACTTTATTCACAATGTAGACTACATGTTTACCTTCTGGAAGTGGAAAATATGGTAATGTTCATGAAAAACTTTATTTATAATTTACACTGCATATTTTTTTCCCTTTATGAGTGCAAAGAATTTTCATGATAAGGTTAAAAATACTTTTCTCCATCTCAAAATTTTCTAGTATCATTTTCACAACCCCTAAGACCTCCTAAATAAATATCTATCAAAGTTGTTTTTTAATTTTTAGAAAACTTTGTATTTTA